CTGCTGGGGGGGCTTCCCCCCCCCAGCAGACCAGGGAGATGCGAAGCAGCTTTTCTCGCCCCGGAGAACGTGGGCAGCGGGACCGCGGCGCATCTGGGCGTCCCGCCGCTCCAGTCCTCCGGGGCGAGAAAATCCCCGTTCGTAACTGCAGATCCGACATAAGTCGGATCCGCGTAACTCGGGGACTGCCTGTACAAAATGATGGGCACTAAATCAGTTGGTGCCACTCACAAGGGAGCTCTTGGCATCATTGTGAATAGTTTTCTGACAATATCCACTGCAGCGGCAGTCAAAAAAGCAAACAATATTAGGAATAATTAAAAAAGGGACTGAGAATAAGACAAAATGTTTATTGCCACTATACAAAGCCATCTTGAGTACTGCATGCAGATGTGGTCGCCTCATCTCAAAAAAGATATCTTGGCATTGGAAAAAGTTCAGAAAAGGGCATCAAAAATAATTAGGGGTTTGAATAGCTGCCATATGAGGCGAGGTTAATAAGACTGGGAATTTTTAGCTTAGAAAAAAGACGACTAAGGGGGGGATATGATAGAGTCTATAAAATTATGACTGGCATGGAGAAAGCAAATAAGGAAAAATGATTTACTTGTTCCCATAACACAAGTTATAAGGGATCACCAAATGAAATTAATAAGTAGCAAGTTTAAAACCAACAAAAAGAAATATTTCTTCACACAATGCACAATCAATCAGTGGAACTCCTTGCCAGAGGATGTTGTGAAGACCAGGACTTTAACAGGGTTAAACAAGAGTTAGTAAGTTCATGGAGGTTAGGTCCATCAATGGTTATTAGCCAGGATAGCTAGGAATGGTGTCCCTGGTCTCTGTTTGTCAGAGGCTGGGAATGGGCACAGGGGATGAATCACTTGGGGTGTGTCTAAACTGCACCCCTCTGCAGACAGAAGGATGTAGATTAGGTACATCGCTATTGCAAATGAAGCAGAGATTTAAATATCCCGCGCTTCATTTGAATAGAAATGGCCAATGCTTTTTGCCAATGTGGCACTTTGCCGGCAAAAAGCGGCAGTCTAGACAAGGATTGGTCGACAAGGAAAGCCTTTTCCAACTGATCCTGTAAACCTTGTTGCACAAGGCATAAGAGATTGGTCGGAAAAGGCTTTCCTTGTCGACTGGTCCCCATCTAGACTGCTGCTTTTTGCCAGCAAAGTGCTGCAGCAGCAAAACGTGGTGGCCATTTCTATTCAAATAAAATGCGGGATACAGGCAGTCCCCGGGTTACGTACAAGATAGGGACCGTAGGTTTGTTCTTAAGTTGAATTTGTATGTAAGTCAGAACTGGTGTCCAGATTCAGCCGCTGTGGGCCAGACCCACTTCCTCAGATCAAATTGTGGAAGAAAATTGGCATGACCATATATACCAAAGGGATACAAACAAAAAAAAGTGAACACATATGAAATAGACAAATCAGATTTTTAGGACAGAGGTGGGACGAAGGGGGGAGGTTAATGTCTATGAGGTAATGATATTTGAGGTGATAATTGGGGAAGCTATCTTTGTAATGGGTGAGATAATTAGCATCTTTGTTAAGCCCCATTTGTAAAGTGTCAAATGTAAGCATGAATGACAGTTCAAGGACTCAGTAACTCAGCTTTCAACATAGGCTAGCAGCTTGCATTCAAGCCCAGTTTCCTCTATAAGCTTTCACCTGAGCTGCTAATCCAAGTTGCTGTGTCTTCAGTGCTGTGTGATCCTCAGTTAGTTAACCTCAGTGAATAACACACTCTTTGTTTTTATACTGAAGACATCCCCATAGTCAGGATTTAGGGGACTTAGATATACAGGCAGTCCCCGAGTTACGTGGATCCGACTTATGTCGGATCCCTACTTACGAATGGGGCTTTTCTCACCGCGGAGGACGGGGGCGGTGGGACCGCCGAGACACACCACGGTCCCGCCGCCTGCGTCCTCCGTGGCGAGAAAAGCCGCTCCGCGTCTCCCTGGTCTGCTGGGGGGAAGCGCCCCCCATGCCGCTGGAGGTGGCGACAGTGGGGGAGGCACCCCGCACTAGCTGCGCCTTCCCCCCCCCTTTCGTAACTAGGGGTCCGACTTAAGTCGGACTGACGTAACCCGGGGACTGCCTATATTTAAATCCCTGCTTCATTTGCAATAGTGATGTGTCTAATCTACATCCCTCCGTCGGCAGAGGGGCGTAGTTTAGACACACCCTTGGTGATTACTTGTTCAGTTCTTTCCCTCTGCAACACTTGGCATTGGCCACTTTCAGAAAACAGGATACTGGGCTAAATGGACCTTTGGTCTGACCCAGTATGGCCAGTCTTATGTTCCCTGCAGTGTGGGCACATAATCAGGGAACCAGGCACCAGGGATTATGTTATAAGAACAAGTAAATAACAAATGGTGTTACAGAAACAAAAATGCAATTCTTGGAATTCATGTTCGAAGCATGCTTCAAATTTTCAGGATTCATATGATTTCTATATTATAAATCTGCGTATCACGCTCCATCTCATCCATTGGTAAAGATTCAACTTCAGCTGTATATTCTGCCTTCTCAAACATGCTGAATGCAGAGAATCAGATTTTTACTTTTTTAAAGGGGATCTTCCCAATTCAATTTATTTCAGACAGCTAGTCTGCATAACTATCATACATTTATTTCCTAAGTAAATTCAGGACATTTTCTTCTTTTCTTAAGCATCAAAGTCTGGTCCTTGGGAGCACTGACAATCTCCTGGGAAAATATTTGTGTCTCCTGTCCTGAGATCTACTAGTAGAAAATTCAGTTCACTGAATATTCACTGAAATCTGTGTTGGTCTTCCAGTCTTAGCCAATGTCATTTCTTCTGTTTTTTGGCAGCTGAATGCCATCGGGAAGATGGAGGAGCGTTATATATAATCCGTCTTATCTCAGATGTTCATATTTGAAGACTAATAAAATTTCAGTGTAACAGTTCTGTGGACCTTAGCATGAAAAATAGCAAAATGTATCCATGCCAATGTGAAAAAAGACCTTTCTTTGAGTAATGAAATCCACTGATTTGGCCCACCCTGGAAACAAATGGATTATCTGGACTAGAAATGGAAATTGATATATCATCATGCTCTTCAATAGCAGAAATTGTCATGCTTTTCCTCAAAGTATACTTTATATACTCTATATTATATATTCAGCAAAGCAGATTGGAATTCTCCTGGTTGCAGAAGCTAATTCACTTGGAGGGAACTTCAATAGGCAGAGCATTCCTCTGCTGTCAATGTCTGACAGGTCCACTTTTGTCCCAATGCTCAAGCAAGCTGAAATTTAATTGTAACTGATTTGTGAACCCTATCTCTTAAAGGAGGGATATTTTTATGTAAACACTTCAGTTCAATATTCAGACCCTCTGTGAAATGTTCTTGCATATCTGCTCTGCTTTTCTCACTGGCTGCGTCTAGACTGGCATGATTTTCCGCAAATGCTTTTAATGGAAAAGTTTTTCCGTTAAAAGCATTTGCGGAAAAGAGCATCTAGATTGGCACGGTCGCCATCGGGCTTTTTTGTGCTAAACAGTTTTTACCTGTCTACACTGACCCTCTTGCACAAAAGCATTTGTGCAAGAGGGCTGATCCCTCAGCGGGAGCATCATAGTGTTTGCGCAAGAACACTGACAATCTTACATTAGATCGTCAATGTTCTTGAGCAAATTCAAGTGGCCAGTGTAGACGGCTGGCAAGTTTTTCCACAAAAGCGGCCACTTTTGCCAAAAAACTTGCCAGTCTAGACGCAGCCACTATGTCTTGCTAGAGCTCCTCAAATTCACTTGCATAAGTGGCACCTTAGCCTTCATGCTCATTCTCTGCAAAGGAATGAATAGCATTCTATGTGAAATTAAGTGTTTGATCAAGTTTCGGGGGCAGGGTTTGCTAGATTGGGTTGGGTTGGAATGCTGTGAAGGGAGCCTTTTGATGTGTTACTCAGTACACCAAAGGAGTCCAGTGGAATGAAATGGACCTGCAGACATTCCTGTGATGAAGAGATGAGGATGATTCTGGCTATGTGTGTTTGTGAAAGAGAGAGAGCGATAATATCTTCCTTTTTCTCCAATGTTTCAGAAATTCAGGAAGTTGGTCATACCTTGCCCAGATCTCAAGATGAGGGGAAAGCTCGGAGCAGGGGCATATGCTGCTACAGTAAATGATTGTGATGCAAAACTGAAAGGCGATGGCAACATTTCAGCCATCACGGAAAAGGAGACACATTTCTGAACGAACTATCATTTTGTTTTATTTTTTGTATAAATAAATAAATTAAATAAATAAAAATACTTCACTTAATTATAGAGGCTGCTTGTTTTGCACAAAATTTATTAACCAGTTAATTTTAAAGTGAACATTGTATAAGTGTTTAAATGATTTTTAATTATTATAAGTAACAATTCTATAAAAGAAAAATAACTAGTATAGTATTGTATGATAATGATGACTTGTAATATGGTGATTTCAGTAAATGTTTTATAGATTTTAGAAGGACCTGTATAATGTGCTGTAAAACTTTTCTACTTGGATTTTTTTGGAAGGCGTAGTGTTGTATACATGTATCTATTCTAATCTGTAAGCATTTCAGACCATTTCAGTTACTAATGTATGTATATAAAGAGGGTCACAATGTCCTTTTGTTTATATTGGAGGGAGTTTTGGAGTACTAGTAATTCAGCTCTGTCATCTTTATATATGAAGCTGAGATGAAGTGTAACAGTTAATCCAAACTAAGGATTTAGTTCGGATTAACTTCTGACTGCCGCGTATAGCCGCGGGCAGTCAGTTCAAACTAAGGGGATTTAAAAATGGCGCCCGCCCGGGAACATGCAAATGAAGCCCGGGATATTTAAATCCCGGGCTTCATTTGCAAGTTCGAATGCCTCCATTAGCCACCCTAGTTCGAACTAGGGGGCCAGTGTAGACATACCCTAAGGGACTTGGCTCCTGCTGTTTGGGAATCAAACTCTAGGCCTGAACCGTTCAGACCTTGTGTCAGAGTTAGGGCTGTAGGCTTAGGCCTTGTCCTTAGCAAAGCACTATTTGCAGGGTGAGTACTCTTTCTGGGGCCTCAGGATATACCACCTGGTAGATGTCTCCTCTGTGCCTGAGCTTCTCAGAACAGTTATACATAGAAATGTGGTGGCTATTTTCATGAAGATTCTAGAGGCTATGTTTTTTTAAACCTCGGAATTTTGTCATTGTGAAGTCATTGGTATCTGATCTCTCTACTTCTTGGAACATTTGAAGCTATTCCATGTTGTCTCTGACTAGCTAAAATTCCTTGCATGTGGTTGTGCTTTTCCTATTTCCTGAGTTGAAATGTTTGTTTTGTTAAACAGAAAGGGAGTTCCTATGACAATTTTCTTAGATAAAGAGATAGAACTTATTTCATAGATATCCCCCCTGAAATGAAATCCAGAATGATATAATGACTATAGCTAGCACTTACATGACTCTTTTAATCTTCAAAACATTTTTGAAATATTACTGAGCTAGGCAGGCATTTTGCCCCTCTTACTGGAGTCAAACTACCAGTGAAGACAAAATGAGAGTTTGCTTGGGAAAGGAGCCAGTAGCAGTTGACTGTACCTGTACAGCAGCCCTGTGTGGTAAGTTATACGGGACAGCTTTTGAAGATGGGGAAAATGAGACAGGGCATCCCCAATGCTACAAAAAAAGTAGGAACTGGGTTTTGAAATCAGGAGCTTGGTTATTCTATCAGTTGCTTGAGCAACCCTAATTGACTTCAGTGGATGTCACTAACTGGTCGAATGATTAGACCATAAGGCTATGTCTACACTGCAGGCTTTTTTCATAAGAACAGCTGTTCTTGCACAAAACCTTGCCGGGTGTCTACACTGCACGTGCATTCTTGTGAAAGTAAATTTATAGTACAGCGTTGGAAAACAGGGCTTCTTCCAGAAGAGTTGTTCCTCTCCCTACAAGGAATAAGTCCTCTTGTGCCAAGAGCTCTTCCACAAGAAGGCAGTATAGACAGGCAACATGATTTTCTTGCGCAAGAAACCCCTATGGCTAAAATGGCCATCAGAGCTTTCTTGCACAAGAGAGCGTACACGCTGCTATGGATGCTCTTGTGCAAAAGCACATCTCTTGCACAAAAGCACATGGCAGTGTAGTTGTGCTCTTGTGGAATACCTTTTGCACAAGAACTCTTGTGCAAAACAGTTTTTCTGCAAGAAGTCTGCAGTGTAGACATAGCCTAGGGGTTTCCAAATAACAGTTCCAAGATTAAACCGCTAGACTATCTTGCTTTCTCTCTCTCACACACACACTATTCCAAACACTACTACTGGATAATTTTTTCCCTCTTCTCTGAGGCTGACAGAATACCTCTGACTCAGTGGCTGGGTGAGACATTGGTGAGTTTGCTGTCTCACAAAGGCTCATCTGATCAGCTAATGTGCAAGCAACAGCATAACAATATTGGAACAATGTCACAGTGCCCTCTGTTCAGAAGAGTTGAAATTCACCCATGCTGGGAAGCCCAACACAATGGCTACGTCTAGACTGGCATGATTTTCCACAAATGCTTTTAACGGAAAAGTTTTCCGTTAAAAGCATTTTCGGAAAAGCGCATCTAGATTGGCACGGACGCTTTTCCGCAAAACCACTTTTTGC